GCTCTCTGCTCACACTCTTGGATGATGACTTTCCCAGACTCCCTTGTGAAACACTTCACGGACCAGGGTTCGGACCATCGTGCACTGTTATTGGCTGACAAACCTTATGCGCGAAGATCCAGACCTCTGTTTCGGTTTGATGCTCGTTGGGCGGATAATCCGGAGGTGAGAGCTATGGTGTCGTATGTCTGGCAGGAGGATATCCCGGGCACCCCGATGTTTCAACTCTGGGAGAAGCTTAAAAAGCTGCGGCATTTGCTGTATGATTGGAGTAGAGCCGGCACTACTAATTCTCTCCGGAATATCCGCACCTTGCAAGCGGAAATTGATCGGGTTAAATCTAGCTCACCCATTGATTGGGATTCCGTGCGAGTTATGGAAGCGGAGTTGGGTAGGCAATGGGAGGCGGAGGAGATCTACTGGCAGCAGAAATCAAGGGTTCACTGGCTAAAGAAAGGGGATCGGAATTCCTCCTACTTTCATACGGTGACTCGGACCCGTCGAAAGCATAACTTTGTTGCTGGCCTTCGTAATGATGTGGGGGAATGGGTTACCGATGAGGAAGGGAAGGCGAATATTGCTACTGACTTTTACCAGCAACTTTTCACTTCTGATAATCAGGTGGGAAATATGTCAGATCGGTTGGCCCAACTTCCAATAGAGTGTCGGGTAACGGAGGCCATGAATGCGCGGATTACGGCAGAAGTCTTGCCTCAGGAAGTAAGGGCGACGGTTTTTGCAATGGGTTCCAAGCAGGCTCCAGGATCGGATGGATTCACTGGAAAATTCTTTAAGACTTTTTGGGACATCGTTGGGTTGTCAGTGATTGATGCGGTGTGCTCGTTCTTTGCGACGAGCAGATTGCTTCGCAGCTTTAATCACACCTGGTTGACTCTGATCCCGAAAGTGGACAATGTGGAGTCTATGAGGGAGCTTCGGCCAATAAGCCTTTGCCAATTCGTTTACAAGATTATTACCAAGATCATGGCTGAAAGGTTGGCTACTATCCTGCCGACTATTGTCACGGAAGGGCAGAATGCATTCATTAGGGAACGCCAAATCGTAGATAATGTCCTGCTCGGACATGAGCTAATGCACTATCTGAAAATCAAGTCGCGAGGAAAGAAAGGATACATGGCTCTAAAGGTTGACATGGAAAAGGCCTATGATAGAGTCGAATGGCCCTTTCTTCTCGCGGTGATGGCAAAGATGGGCTTTAGCTCCGTTTGATGCGGTTGGGTCCATGAGTGTCTCAAATCGACTTCGTTTTCGGTGATGATGAACGGTACTACGAAGGGTTATTTTGCGTCGTCTCGCGGTTTGCGCCAGGGCGACCCTCTATCTCCTCTACTGTTCGTATTATGCACGGAGGGGTTTGCTGCCCTCCTGAGGAAAGCCATTACCGAGAAGAAGCTTCAAGGAATTAAAGTGGCGCCCCGGGCCCCTCGAATCTCACACCTGTTCTTTGCGGATGACTCCTACTTGTTCCTGCGTGGGTCTCTCCAAGAGTGTGAGAATTTGATTACGGTTCTGAACGAATATGAGGAGCTGAGTGGTCAGAGGGTCCATCTAGCTAAATCGGCTGTTTGCTTTAGCAAAAACATTGTCAGCGCTGATCAGGAATTCCTGGGTCAGGTGTTGGGTGTGGGGGCGATTGGAGTTCATGATAAATATTTGGGGTTGCCATCTCTTATAGCTCGGTCTAAGATGGAGACGTTTCGTTATTTGGAGGAGAAGTTGCTAGCTCGACTACTGGGATGGAAACAGCGTACCTTGTCCTGGGCGGCTAGGGAAACCTTAATCAAGGCAGTGGCCTTGGCATTGCCCTTGCATGCTATGTCGTGCTTCAAGCTCCCTCTCTCTCTTTGCCGTCTCCTGGATAGGCATGTGGCCCGTTTTTGGTGGGGGGGGGAGAGAATGGGCATGATAAGGTGCGGTGGATGTCTTGGCGGAATATGTGCTGTAATAAGCATGAAGGTGGAATGGGATTTAGGCGTTTTGAGCACTTTAATCAAGCGCTGTTGGCTAAAATTGGTTGGCAAATCTTAAGCGAGCCGGAGTCGCTGTTAGCCCAGGTGTATAAGGGGAAATATTTTCCGAGGAGCGGGTTTCTAGAAGCTAAGGCGAGATCCCGGCCATCCTGGGGGTGGCAGAGTATCCTATTTGGCCGCCAATTGTTGAGCCAGGGACTTAGATGGCAAATTGGGAATGGTCAAACGGCCCCTCTCTTGCTGAGCAATTGGATCCCGAGGTTACATCCGTTGGTTCCTGCGTTTAATCCTTGTGTCCTGCCTACTGATGGGGACGTTCGGGTTTCGGCCGTTATCAATAGTGTGGAAGGATCCTGGTGCGACACGGGGTTGGCCCGATGGTTTGACCCTCAAACTTGCCGGTACATTAAGGAGATTCCTCTCGCTCAAGGTAATGTTGAGGATCGACTTGTTTGGCATGGCACGCAGGATGGTGTTTTCACAGTAAAGTCTGCATACCACCTCGCGGTCCAGATGGATAGGAAGGAGGGTCGGTGGCGTTCTACGGTCAGCTGGATGGACAGGTCAAGTTGGATCCGTGTCTGGGAGGCCCCTGTTCCCCCGAAGTTAAGGGTTTTCCTATGGCAACTTTTGAATAGACTCCTTCCTACTACTGAAGCTCTGAGAGAGAGGAAGATTCCAGTTCACCCTCGGTGCCCAGTTTGTTGGGCGGCTTCTGAAACGTTGGAGCACCTCTTCCTGGAATGCCCTGTGGCGCGTGCGCTCTGGGATTATGCTGGGCTGGAGTATGTGGGTCAGGGGTTGCCTCGACATAACTTCCCACTGTTTCTGAAAAGATTGTTGAATATCATCCGCCAGGACCATTTATTCATGGCAGTCGTAGCTGTCCTGTGGCGAATTTGGCGGTCCCGGAATTGTGTTGTTTTTGAAGGGAAGCAGTTTGGGATACCAGCTCTGTTGCGACAATATCACCAGCAGTATCAGGAGTGGATTGGTTTGCCGGGTGATAAATCTCAGGGTGGACATGTCTCTCAGGCAGAGGAGGTCCTGTTTTGCCCTTTAATCTGCTCTTGGGATGGGGCTACGTTGTCATCATCCCACTCGGCTGGAGGAATGGTTGTGATGAATCACGTTGGGGACATTCTTGTTGCTAGGGGCTTTCAGTTTGCAGGCATTGGGGATCCGTTGGTTGCTGAAGCTCTTGCTCTTCGAGAGGCGATTCTCTGGTGCCGGGAGTCTGGATGTGTGGAGGTGCGGTTTGAAGGGGACGCCAAGGTGCTTATTGACAAGGTCAACAAGTCAAACTCTAGTGATAGTAAAGTTGGGGCGCTCCTGGAAGAGATTATAGGGGTTCTTGATTTGGTAGGAGGGTTCTCTGTGCGGTTTGTTGGTCGGCGTAGAAATAGGGCAGCCCACTTGGTGGCTAGAAAGGCTCTGCAATTATACCCGACCTCGAGTCGTTCCTTTAATTTTCTGACCTGGCTCAATTCCAGGATGTAATTACCTTTGTTTCTGATCAATATACTGATTATCTTTTGGCAAAAAAAAAAAAAAAGATTAGTGATACAATATATACGGTGATTTTGTGACAATAACTCACCCGCCACCAATCCAAATTTCATAGGTTAAAATAAGACCCACTCATCCATCCAAAGTCCAAATACATATGGCATATGGCATGAGTGATACTTGAGAGAACTCCAAAAGTCCAGATGAATTTAGTAGTTGAACCATCCATTTACTGATGTCCATCCCTAAATTAAACCAGTAAACCACAGTAGTAAAAGTAAAACCAGGGTTCAAGAAGGCGCGCCTAGGCGCATGTCTAGGCTCAATTAGGCGCTAGGCGGTGGAGGATCGCCTTGACTTGGCCATAGGCGTTGTAAAAGGCACTGGTAGCGCTTAGTAGGTAGGAATAGCGCTTAGTATGCGCCTAGTGGAGGGAAGGCGTGCCTGGGCGTTCCTGGGCGAGCTTAGCCGGTTAAACCCAATACTCTTCGTTTTGTCCTAGAAAATCAGAAAATTGTCTCTTGCCCTAGAAAATCAGAAACACGGGAAGGGGATGACCATGCTATGTATGTATTCATAGATGAGGATGAGGAATCATATTGTGCACCCTCGAGTACTGTTACAAATGCAATGGCGGGTGAACAGAGTGAGCTTCGCAGGAGTGCACGAGTGAGAGAGCTCCTTGATGAAGAATTAGAGTCTGGAGAGGAGGAGGATGGTGAGGAGATTGCTTTTAAGGATGATGAAGATGAAGTGGTGGCTGGGCAGACCTACTTGGATGATGAAGAATGAACATTTTCCTTATGAACTTATTGACTATTGTTTAGTATTTCGACATTTAATGAACTTGTGATTCTAGGAAGTGGTCACTATTTGCTTGTTATTTGTTATGTTAAGTGTTTACTGTTAAGAACTAGGTATTGCTAATTTTATATGCACTTGGATTATATGAATTATTCCAGAAAACAGGAAATATTTGAGAACTTTTTCCATTTATGCTCTGAACGCCTAGGCGCGCCTAGGCTACGCTTAATAAGGCAAGGCGCAAGTCAGGAGCCGAGCGCCTGCCTTACGCCTAGCGCCTTTTAGAACCTTGAGTAAAACTAAGTAAGAAGACAGGGGAAGTGGAACAAAGAAACACTACTGCCTTCCCTTTCATTTGATTTCCTTCGTACTCGTGGTTGTCACGCCGCCCGGCATGTCACCGGTTATAAAATTGGCGTGACACCATTGGTATGACCGGCATGATCGATATACGAATCTCTAAAGTAAAACGATCTTATTTTAGAGAATTTAATTGATAAAAATTATTTTATTATTTATTTTATGTGTATAAAAGCTAAATATTGATGTTATTTGTTGGATTCAAGTATAAATGTTTAGATATTGACGTTAAATGTCATGTTTAAATATGAGTATTTATAATTTTATTTGTAATATTGACCGGCATGAACCGACACCACCTATTGAACCATTCCACTTGCTAAACCGATTTGAAAACCTTGCTTCTACTACTCTGTACAAAATCTGTCCCTTTCAACTTTCCCCCTTTTACCATCTTTCTCCACCGTTAAATCCTCCACAGCTCTAGTATCTCTCACTCGCTCTCTCTGTCTCTCATCCCCATGGCGCTATCCAACAACCTAACCGCAATCCTAAACCTGATAGCCTTCCTCTGCTCCGTCCCCATAATCGCATCCGGGATCTGGCTCGCCGCCCAGCCGGACAACGAGTGCATCCACTTGATCCGGTGGCCGGTCGTCCTCCTCGGCCTCCTGGTCCTCGTCGTCTCCCTCACCGGATTCGTCGGCGCCTACTGGTACAAGGAGACGCTCCTCGCCTTCTACCTCTGCTGTATGGCCATCCTGATCGCGCTCCTCCTCATCCTCCTCGTCTTCGCCTTCGTCGTCACCCGCCCCGACGGCAGCTACGACGTCCCCGGCCGCGGAGACAGGGAGTTCCGGATCCAAGGGTTCTCGCCCTGGCTGCGGAGTCACATCGTCAATTCCAAAAATTGGGGCGCAATTCGCGCTTGCCTCGCCGAGACCGACGTCTGCTCCAGATTGACGAGTAGGTATCTGTCGGCGGACCAGTTCTTCGCCGGCCACATCTCTCCCCTCCAGGTTAGTTCTATCTAAGCTAATTCGAATTAGATGAAAATCGAGTCGTGAATTGGATAGGGAGATTTGGGGGGGAAATCACGGTGGCGGTGTGAATGGAACTTTCCTGAAAGTGTGCGCGTCAGTGCGCAATTCGAGGAAGCCTTGAAAAATCAATCACCATTCTGGGGTTTCCTTTTTTTTCTTCTTACTGTAGTCAGTGATTTCTGGCGGTGACGAGATTTTTCTGGTCCTGCAGCTGGACTGCAGTAGGAAGGAAGGATCAGTGAATGTGCTTGGAAATTGGAATAGAATAGGACAGAGATGGTGGGAGTGGGGCCAGTTTTAGTGGAATTTTCATTTTCGTTTGTCATCCCGATGTCGACTGAATAAGAAGGTACCATCGTCATAAGTTAGACAGACAGCCAAACATGGAGTGGACAACTATACCGAAACCGAATTGTCCCTCGAGTTAAATATATTTCGATTTGATTTCGATCTTATAAGTTAATTTAAAGTATGAAGGGGGAAAAATACACTCAGATGAAATTTGAAAAAAAAAAAAATTTGAAATGAACAAGTCGGAGTAGATGAACCAAATTAAACATATTTTTAATTTGGTTCTAGTCTCAAGTTTTCTTTAATTTTTGTTAGATGATTTCGATATGATCTGATCTAGTTTTACATCGAATCGAAAGATGTACATTCGTAGTCACATATTTAAGGTTGTCTATGTTTGGCTCGGTTCTTATAAGTGCTTTTATACTTTAAAAACTGAAGTCGAGTTAAACACCTCTATAAGTTAGGATTTTGGAAAAGCGAAAACTGTTTTTTATAACATAAAAATTTATTTTGAAAGTACAAGATTATCCTGATCATTTTTAATTTTTTTTGTAAAAAGATACATTTTCATTTATATATTCAAAATAAAATATATCACAATATAATATTAAATAATATAATAGAAATACAACAAATCCATTTTGACTACTTTTTAATTTTTTAAACTTTTACTCATTGTTTTATTCAAAATATTTTTGTCATTTTACATGAACTTTTATATTAAAAATTAGAAAGTATTTGACATATTTTTTTCATGCAAACACTGACTTTCTTTGAAAAGTGTAGTTTAAAAAGTTGGGTTAATTGCATGGTTGGTCACTGAGATTATAAAAAGCGTTCATGTTTGGTCACTAGAAATATTTAAATCCAATTTTGGACACTCAAATTAGTTAAATGGTTCAAGTTTGGTCACTCTCCGTTACCTTCCGGCAGTCTCCGTTAACACCGTCAATTATTTGCTGACGTGCTAACAGACTCACCTAGTCACCTATTTTTGACAAAAATAAAATCCAATCCTGCCACGTCATTAAAACTTGCCACATCATATCCATCGTTTTCCTTCCTCCTCCCTCGTTGTCCTTCCTTTATATATTAAATGAGAATCCAGATGATTGACCAGAACCGTTCACGAAACCGGTTAACTCTCCCTTTCCCCTTCTGGCCTTCTCCATTTCCCCACCTTATCATCTCTTCTCCCCAAATGAAACAACCGCCGCCACCGCCACCCATTTCCCCGCCGCAATGAACCACCGCCGGCCGCTTCACACCCTCCCCTTCCTCCTCCTCCTCCACCTCCTCCTCTTCCAACCAACCTCCGCCGTCGACTTCGTCTTCAACAGCTTCAACTCCACCAACTCCTCCTCCAGCCTTTTCCTCTACGGATCCGCCGCCGTCGAATCTCGAGTCCTCACCCTCACCAACTCCACCACATTCACCATCGGCCGCGCTCTCTACCCGCAGAGAATCCACACCAAAACCCCCAATTCCTCCTATGTCAACCCCTTCTCCACCTCTTTCATCTTCGCCATGGCGCCGTACAGAGACGCCCTCCCGGGCCACGGATTGGTCTTCCTGTTCGTCCCCTTCGTCGGAATCGAGGGGGCTTCCTCTTCTCAGAACCTGGGCTTCCTCAATCGCACCATCGACAACGATCCTAACACTCGAATCTTCGCCGTCGAGTTCGACGTCTTCGCCAACCAGGAGTTCAGCGACATCAACGACAATCATGTGGGGATCGATCTCAATTCGCTCACCTCCAGATTCGCCAAAGAGGCCGGCTACGGGCTGGATTCCGGCGCCGGATTCGAGTCGCTGAGGCTAAACAGCAGCGAGAACTACCAGGTTTGGATCGACTACCAGGTGTGGATCGTTGGGTGAAGACCAGAGCCAGGGTCGGCGATGGTGGTGCTCGTGGGGTTGATGTTTTTGTCGAAGGAAGGAGAAGAGGGGAAACCGGCGGATTGGACAGGTCGGCGACAATAGCTTCTTCTGGTCGTCTTCTCCGGGCAAGGGATTTTGAGGATTGGTCAATTTTGGGTTTTATTGGGGTAGGTCAGATCAGTGACCAACCATGCAATTAACCCTTAAAAAACTTTGATAAAAATCAACTTTTCCAAAAGCTACACATGAGTGACATGACCAAACAAGTCTAATAAAATAGATAAATTTCAATTTTCCCCCTTTTTTGACGAATAATAATTAATAAGTGGCCTGAGAATTAGTGGTCGTTAGCTCTATTGGATCACTCGTACAATCCATAGTAATTGCGCGCAGTAAACTTAAATGATAGAATTGACACAGTGTGTATTAAATGGTTGAAAATCATGGAAGGTATGATCCAACAACACTAGTTTAATAACCATCCTAATCTTTAAGATGATTGAACTCTTATACAACAAAATGTTCTAATACTAAATTAATAATTAATGTAGTTAATCCACTCGAATCGTTGAAAGAGAATGAAGTATAGACTATCCTCTTCCATTCAAATAGAGCAAATTTCCGAACTTTGATTTTTGTCCGTCCCGTTTGTCTAAATTTTCAATCATAACTTATAAGTAGCATAATACTCTGTAATAAAGAGCCAACAAAAGGAGGCTAAGGCCATCTCCAATGCTAGTCCTCAAATTTGGGGACCTTCATCTCCAAATTTGGGAATTATCCCCATTTTAATAATTTTTGTTTCAATGCTACCATCTCCAAATTTGAGAATCTCCCTTTTCTAGTTTTTATTTACTTAAAAATGTACTTTTGACCATCTTAATCTAATTTGTTCATATTTATTTTTGTATAATTTGTCTTCATTTTTAAATGCAAATTTTTTTATAGATTTTTTAAAATTTCGAGACTAAATATTTTTTGGCAAAAAAATGATTGACCTATTTTTTCTTTACACGCAACGTTTCAAAATGATAAAGTTGAAAGAGTTAACATAATAGGTCAAATGGTACAACTCAAATGTTACCCACAATACTTGATATTGATAAAGTTTAAAGATTACACACAACTCTTGAAAATGATAAAAGTTAAAGATTACACACAACACTTGAAATGATGAAGATGAAACACATAACATGTCAATAATCACCCAGAAGATAATAGTAATTTCTGTAATCTCCTCCTCCGGTCTGACTTGCGTTGGATGAATAGTTGGGAACAAAGTAAGGATCATCTTGATCATATCTTAGAAGCACGTTTTGTTTATTTCTTCAATACTTCCTCTTTCTTAGTGTCATGACAGGTCCCTTTCAAGAAAACTAATGTTTTCCCGAAGTAGTGTCGCTTCTCTCTCTCTTTTCTCAAGTTTCCACTTTTCTTCTCTCCCTTTTCTCAAGATACTACTTTTCTTCATCGTGCTTCGATTTTTTTCCCTTGGAATTCCATCCTTTTTGCTTATAGTCAGCCCTCGAAGCGTGCCTCTCCTTCAACTCACTTCCATAATCCAGCAATGTAGCTCTCTGGTGACTCAGCAACCTCCATTCCTTTGTTCTTAGCCGCCTTTTGTTTGTCACGTCCAGCCGGGCGAGATATGACGAAGGGTGAATTTTCTTCGACAAAGGGTGGAGTTTCTTCGTCTCCTGCTATGTCATTGAGCTCTGTCAGTGGGGTTGATTGATAACCACGACCATGAGAGAATCATCAGAACCTTGACTCATGCGGCTTTATTGTGAAGCTTGACTCATGAGTTATTTCTTAGTGTCATGAGTTATTGGAAGATGACATTGTTATCATGGTATCGAATATTTGACCTTTTTTCAATCCGCCAACAATGGGCGAAAGTTTCATTTTTATACAGTTGTTTTGTGATATATTTCTATACATATTAATGAATGTGTTGGAAAAGGAGTTAGAAAAAGAACACATACTAATGAATGAGTTAAAAAGTAATAGTGATGGTGACCGAGAATTCATACCACATCTTGTTGATTCGTGCCACTTGGTTGATTCCTCTCTGCCTTTTTGATAGCTGAATTCCAACACTTGCACAATTTATTGATGGTGTTCATTCAATTAACCATACTTTTGATAGTACGAGTTGTGTTTGGACGTTCACTCGAAATCGCATGTCCATTTTATCACAAAACTTTTATTGACGCCCACGGCTCCATCTTCTGATATCGTTACCCAAAAATTGCACAAGTTCTTATCTTCCTCCGCTTTCCAACCCTCTCCTCTCTTGCTTGTCACTGTTTGAATTTTAGAGAAAGAAAGATGATAGAAAGGATGGTGAGATTGACATCAAATCACTTCAGTAAGAATGAATTGTAGAGAGAGAGGAAATGATGTTTGAATATATAGAAAATTTTATGACTGTTAGATATGAACGTTCGGATATGACCGTTAAGTATGATTGTTAGATGTTACCGGTCAGATATGACCGTAAGGCTAGACCGTTATATATGACCGTTCAGATATGACTATTAGGTAGGACTGTTAGGTAAGGCTGTCAGGTAGCACATGTTAGGTATGACTGTTAGGTAGGACACTTTTGGATATGTTCGTCTATAAATACAAATCCCTCTTCTGTCATCAATTCAACACTTGTCTGAAACTTCCTCCCATTTCTAAAACAAACACATTCATCAACTTCTCCTAATTTCTAAAACAAAAACATCCATCATGAGTTCCTCAAATTTATCATCGTCTGGAGGAGAAAAAGAGATGAAAGAGTTGAATCTGTTTCATTATCACCATTTGGCTTTAATCGGACGGATGCTTGAGGAAGCTTCATCCTCACGTCGTCGTTCAACAAGTCGCCTTACATTGATCGTGAAAGGGTCCAAGTCATGATCGTCTTATGTAGGATTACTTCAATCCAAATCAATATATGATGCCCGCATATTCAGAAGGCATTTTCGTATGCAACCACGACTATTCAATCACATAATGGGTGACGTTCTGAGGTATGATCCCTCTTTTGCACGAAAGTGTGATGTTATTGGTCACTAAGGCCTATCGTCGGGACAAAAGCTTACTAATGCAGTGCTCATGCTAGCTTATGGATCTCTAGCTTATCAACTTGATAACTACGTGTGTATGGATCCGAGCACTGTACTGGAAGTCTTGAGGAAGTTTTACAGAGGCATTGTGGGGATGTACAAGCCGAGATGCCTTCATACACCAATCCCTGCTGATTTAAGGATCCTAGTTCGTAAAGCTTCACAACGCGGATTGTCTAGTATGATTGGATCAATTGATTGCATGCACCGAGAGTGGAGGAACTGCCCTACTTCTTGGACTAGGCAGTACCTGGGGCACAATCGTAAACCAACAATCATTCTTGAGGCAGTGAATTCATACAACACCTGGATATGGCATGCTTTCTTCGGCTGGCCTGGGTCGAACAACGACATCAATTTTTTGGGGATGTCTCCGGTGTTTGTTCGTATCTTCAACGGATCCACTCCACGAGTACGATTTGAGGTAAACGGTCATATCTATGATCAATTTTATTATTTGGCTGATGGTATGTTCGGGGTCAACTTTAGTGAAAACATTCAACAATCCAAGATCAAACAAAGCCTTGTATGCTCAATGCCAAGAAGCACATCGAAAAGACATAAAGCGGGCTTTTCACTATCAATGTAAGTGCGACTTGTTGAACGACGAAGTGAGAATGAAGCTTCATCAAGCCTCCGCCCGATTAAAGCCAAATGGTGATAGTGAAACAGATTCAACCTTCTATCTTTTATTCTCCTCTAAATGATAAGAAATATGAGGAACTCATGATGGATGTGTTTGTTTAAGAAATGGGTAGAAGTTGATGGATGTGTTTGTTTTATAAATGGGATGAAGTTTCCGACAGATATTGAATTGATGACAAATGAGGGATTTGTACTTATTGACGAACACATCCAAACGTGTCTTACGTAACACTCATACCTAATAGGCTTACCTAACATGTGCTACCTAATAGGCTTACCTAACAATCCTACCTAACGGTCATATTCGATAGGTAACATCTAACGGTCATAAAAGTTTCTATATATTCAATCTCACCATCCTTTCTATCATCTTTCTTTCTCTAAAAGCAAACAATGACAAGCAAGAGAGGAGAGGATTGGAAAGCGGAGGAAGATAAGAACTTGTGCAATTCATGGGTCACGATATCAGAAGATGGAAATGTTGGCGTCAATCGAAGACAATCAAAGTTTTGGGATAGAGTGGACATGCAATTTCGAGTGAACGATCCAAACACAACTTGTACTATCAAAACCATGGTTAATCGAATGAGCACCATCAGCAAACTGTGCAAGTTTTGGAATTAAGATATCCAAAGGGCGGAGAGGAATCAACCAAGTGGCACGAATCAACAAGATGTGGTATGAATTTTCTGTCACCATCACTGTTATTTTATAACTCATTCATTAGTAGTGTGTTCTATTTTCTAACTCATTTTCCAACTAATTTATTAATACGTATAAGAGTATATGGCAGAACAGTTGTATAAAAGTGAGACTTGCGCCCAGGGTTGAACTCTTAGTCATTGTTGGCGGATCTTGAAAAAATGTTAAAAATTTCACCATGATAACAATGTCGTCTCCCATTCCTCCCATGAGTTAAAGCTTCACAGCAAAGTCGCACGAGTCAAGGTTCTGATGGTTCTCCCATGGGTCGTGATTATTAATCAACCCCACTAACAGACCTCAATGACCAGGAGATGAAGAAACTCCACCCTTCGTCATATCTCGCTCTGCTGGACGCAACAAACAGAAGGCGGCTAAGAAGAAAGGAAAGGGGGTTGTTGATTCATTAGAGAGCTACATTGCTCAATTGTTGGACTATGGAAGTGACTTGAAGGAGCGGCATGCTTTGAGTGCTGAGTATGAGCGAAAAAAGATTCCAACAAAAGAAAAACTGAAGTGCGATGAGGAAAAGTGGGATCTTGAGAAAAGGGAGAGGGAAGAAAAGTGGGAACTTGAGAAAAGATAGAGGGAAGCGACATTACTTCGGGAAAACATGGATCTTCTTGAAAGGGGCTTGTCGAAGTTGATAAAAAAAAAGAGGAAGTATTGGAGAAATAAACAAAACGTGCTTCTAGGGTATGATCAAGATGATCTCAACTATGTTCCCAACTATTCATCCAACGCAAGTTAGACCGGAGGAGGAGATTAAGGGTATTACTATTATCTTATGGACGATTATTGACATGTTATGTGTTTCATCTTTATCATTTCAAGTGTTGTGTATGTTTGGTAAGCACGTCATGTAGAATTCATGTATTTGAAGAACTCATGTATATTGAAGGTTGAGTTGCGAGAACTTGTGTAATATAAAAATGCATTGTTTGGCTTGCATGAGTTCAAAGTAGAACTCACATAATTTGGCATTAAATTTCAAATACTTTGGGTAAACCCAAAGCATTTGAGATATCATGGTCACATGAATTCTAGAATAACACGGTGCACCAATATCATGATATCTGCCCAAAAATAAAACAAGGAAAACAGTGAAATCTCAAATATCATGTAATCTTGAAACCTGTGGGTAGATTACATGCTTTACCATTTTCAAGTGTTGTGTGTAATATTTAAACTTTATCATTATCAAGTTATGTGCAACCTTTGAGTTGTATCATTTGAACTATTATGTGAACTCCTTTAGTTTTATCATTTTCAAGTGTTGTGTGTAAAGAAAATTAGGTCAATCATTTTTTGTCAAAAAAAAAAAATCAATATCGGAAGTTAAAAAATTTCTATTGAAAAATTTGAATTTAAAAATGACGACGAGCTATACAAAAATTAACATAAATAAATTAGATAAAAATGATCATAAGCATATTCTTAAGTAAAGAAAAACTAGACAAGGGGAGCTCCAATAGCCTTCGACATTACATTAATTCCTCGCGTTAGAGCTGGCAATTCATCATTAATGTGTCACCTTCCCAAGGGAAATAGAATGGATTGGCAACTAGCACTTTTTCACAATCCACCGCCTGGAAAATCATGGAAACTTCAGATGCTCAGGCCTCAGACTAAACTAAAAAGTGAATTGTCGTCGTATTATATTAGTAGCATAGAACGGGCTTAATAATACGACGACAATTACAGGAAAAGAAAAACAAGCTCTTCTTTTTCTCCTACTCATTGTTTTTTACTGAAATACTATATATGTCTGCATGCGTGTGCTTTGCGGCGAGTGAAAGATAACGTTGTAAATATGTCGTATGAATTTTCTCCTACTCTTTGTTTTTTACTGAAATACTATATATGTTTGCATGCTTGTGCTTTGCGGCGAGTGAAAGATAGCATTGTAAATATGTCGTATGAAAGAGTTAATAAAATTTAACTCATACGAAATAACTTTAAGAACGACAAGAAAAAACATTAAAATGTTGTGGGTGAGGTTTGTAATAATTTGCTATCGCTGACGAGTGAAGTTATGAATTAGAAAAGGACGATCTATCATATTTGGAGCTAAAAAATTATTAAATTTATGGAGTTCATGCATTTAAAATAGAAAAGAACAAAGTGAAAAAATGACGGACGAATGTAGCATCTGGTTCTATTGCATGGAGAACGAGAAAGAGATGACTAAAAATGTCAGCACCAAAAAACAAAAATACACATATTAGACGATGTGAAATTAGGAATAAAATGAAGTAGGAATGAAAAATAAATTGATTAAACATAAAAGTAAAAGGATATAAATAAAAGGTCACATAACCATATAACAAATGACCTTGAAGTTAGAGTTATTTACAAAAGGTCATCTTAAGTCTTAACTATCCACATAAATGCAATTGTAAAAACAATTGCATTTGTGCTCTTTTTTGCCACCTTTTTTTTCCCAGTTCTACTCATATTACTTTCATTTACCTATATCAATGCAATTAACCAACAATTACATATGTGAGTACAACTTAATTTTTAATAAAATAAAAGATTTTCATTTTTATTATTTTATTCATACATGAAATAAATAAATCCATGAATGCCTACGTAGAGTTGCAAGAAATCAATGCAATTGGATTGCTGCGATTGAGATTTTCATCAATGCAATTGGATTTCTATTGTCCATGTCATAATGCAATTGAATATGATAGTTTGATGTGGATGCATATAATGAATATCGAAACTTTTATATAAGAATTGCTGCCTCATTATATCGAAACTTTTATATAAGAATTGTTGCCTTCCTATATTTGCAACATGCAGTCGGGTTGCTGCAAGCCACCAACGGCATGCGGGTACAGCTACGTGAACCCGACCCTGTGGGAGAATCCGGCGAACCCGACGGCCGACCCGGACTGCTACAACTGGAGCAACGACCAGAACCAGCTGTGCTACAACTGCAGCTCCTGCCGCGCCGGGCTGCTGGGGAACCTGAGGAAAGAGTGGAGGAAAGCCAACACCTTCCTCATCGTCGCCGCCGTCGTGCTCATCGTCGTCTACGTGGTTGGCTGCTGCGCTTTCAAGAACGCCCAGACTGAAGACCTCTTCGCCCGTTACAAGCAAGGCTGGGCCTGAACTTTTAGCTAGGGTTTGCCCAAAACTTCAGTAGTGTATTTGTAAGGTAATGTGTAATTCCATTTCCCACTAGCAATGTTTTTTAGGCTTCTTGCAATACAAGATTCCTGCTTGCTCTATGCAGTAAATCATGGTGTGACTGAGACTGACTGATGCTTGCAGTTTGAGAACTCTAGAACCAATAAGCTCAATGGACAAGCACTCACAAACAAAATAACCCTTCAACTCTGAGAAATGAAAGCAGGTCTGCAGAGAGTAGATACATTCATACCATGAAAACACAAGTGACCAGCTTGAGGAACTGATGAACCTAGCTAGCTAGTTAAGCCATCCATTATAATTAATTACTCTTCAGGAACTTGCAAGTAATCCGGAAAATGCTGCCCCGTCTAAGCTTCTATCGAGGCCTTTCTCGAGAAGACAATGTACATTGGATCTGATCGTCCGGGGTTAGGAGATATATCCACAGCCTGCAACCCCAATCCCCATACACATATTAGTGAAGAGTATATAGAAGAAAACCAAGCCTGTGAATTGTGACCATATCCTCCCTAGCCCAGTAGCCCTGGCCTTTCAAGGACACAAAACAAAGCAAAGCAAACAACACAATCACCTGAGGCGGTTCGAATCCTCCAGCATAATGGAAGTATGACCCAACAATCATAACATGGTCAGCATCCCCGGTTGATGTCCATATTGAGATTGCTTTCGTGAAAAAGCAGCGGTTAGAAAAGCTGGAAAACGCGAAAAATGGTTGGCATAAGAGACCGGTAAACAGAGCAGAAGGGGTGTTCAGATGAAGCTAGCAAGACAAAATGACATTGCCATCGGTTATTTCTATGAGCATGAACATGGTATGTGAGCGTGAAATAGGTTTCTGGTGCTTGCTGCTACAGCTGACATAAAGAAGCTAAGGAAGAGCTTGAAGCTGTAAGTATACACCAATTCCCATCCAGAGAAAAAGAACTTGCCTCATTATGGCTAGACCCCCTGGCTTCAATATGCGGCTCATCTCCTTGAATACATCGAGTGGTTTGGTCAGGTAATCCACACTGACCTGTTTGTCAAACGTGTACCCCATTAACAATAATATTATTCAGTTCTCTCGGCTCAAGGAATTAAGTAGTAGTTCAAATATGCAAAGAAATAGAGTTGACATACCACATTAGTTATGACGTCAAAGGAATTGTCATCAAATGGGAGTTTCGGTTCCACATTCAAGTCTTGCACAATGTACTCTGTCAGAATCTAACAAGGATTGAAGAAGAAAACCACGACCAGTAAGTGTTTGGAGGCCTTTGACATAAATAGAGAAAACTAATCAAACACTTGAAAGAGAAAGTAAGTTCTACAGGATTCCGCTTGAGCTCTTCTTCATTCATTCCCATCCCAACTATACGATCTTGCTTGTATCCTTTGGGTAATGGCTGACCTAAACACAAAATTATGACAAAGATTCTGTTAAAGCATGCAGAACAGATAACTCAGAATGTGGGATGTTACAGGCAGGAGAGTTTCTTACCCAACTGCTACACATGTCCAGGATGCTTACACCCGGAGTATTGCTAGGAGGGAGAACCTCCGAGTAATACTTTGTTAGTGCAGCAATGGCCGGGTCATCGATATGTGTAACAAACCGTGGGGCATCATAGAACACCGAATCTGATGACCTGAGTGCGGAAGTTTTGGAGTTTAGACATCAGCTTCTTGAAATCAGATGACTAAACCAAAGGAAAGCTGATAGGAGTTACACTTTGCATTACTGCATAGGAGATGAGAACGCAAGGGACCAAAGCAAACGAAGATTCCAGATAAGCATACAACAAAATGCAACAGAACCAGCATACTGTCAACTAGTTGAAACTTGCAACTGAAGACAGAAAGTGTAGCTTTTGGAGGGCTTACTCATCATATCTCTGAAAATCTTCCTCCTTGAATGGGAATTGCTCCGGCCAATCAACATTCTTCAAAACCTATTTTATTTAGATAAGTGGTAGAAAGGATCAAACACCAAGAGCATGTCAAAAGTAGTGCATAGTTCATAGCAGAAATGCACCTGAGCCCTTTGGGTAGTCCAAACCCTCAACCCAACCCTGGAAATATCTCCCAAGTCACCCCATCAAGTCAATTACACTGACTCTCCATACAGCTACCTGATATCCCAACTATAAATTACCTTGATTTGAACACCATAATGAGTCTAATCCTAACTACCCAGATGGTAAAATTTCGGAAACTCGGACTCCCATTCATTAGTTTATCCCAATCAATGAAGCAGTTCGGGAATTACAAGTGTTCAGAACAAAAAGCGCCAAACTTTAGCAAATAAACGAGCAAAAAAGCGAAGCAGAGGAGATGAAAAGTTTACTTCTTCGACGGCACCCTTCTGCCTCGCGGAGGCAACGAAACGCTTGCCGCCAAATTCACCAGCCATGCCCACAAACAGCGACAGGAACGAAGCACCTCCCACCCCTATCACCAGCCTCCGTCGTGCAGTAGCAAATCTACTGCCGTTAAACTTCGCCTGCGCTTTCGCAAACCCACCACAAGCACAAGCACCAGCGGGAACCCAAAAGCTGGGACGAGTGCTAGAAGTGCGATGAACCGCAACAGCTAGAATCGGTGTCTTTGGATTATGTAGAAGTCCAAAGCGAAATGCCATTTTTGGGTTTAAAAAATGGGGAAAGTTCGTTATAGTAATATTTACTATTGTTAAGTTTTAGAACGTTGCTGTTGCAGACGTAGCAGCTGCAGATTGGATTTGGTTCATTCATGGAGGATGGATTGGGAATTATGGATGGTCAGTGCCTCGCCACCGTGCTTCGTTTTCCATCTCCTGATGCTGTCGGAATGTTAGGTGGGCTGTTCCAGTGAATTTTGGGCTCCCTACGTGGGCTCGCTTCACGACGCCAAGGTTGTCAATAATACCGCCTTAGCTTGGAAAAGAAAATTTCAATGGCCCGAAGATGAAAGGTGACCATCCATATTTCTCCTTCTTGTGAGAGTGAGACTGCTGATAAGTAGAGTCCCTAATTGGCCCTTAAGTAGCACGTAACAATAAATTTGAACATATATACCATTCTCGTAAAGAAATTCAGAGTCCGAGAATCTTTAAAACCCAACAGTCAACAAGTGCTACTAAAATCCGTTACCAGCGCTGCAGTTCCCAGCAAATATACAGCAGCCACATTTCTGTTTGTTTTGTTAGTCCTAGGTAAGACGAGCATTTTTGTTTCTGTCTCTGCAACTTGAAGCACATTCAACTTACACATAAACTACTAAAAGACCCGTACGAGAATGTCAGCATTTTACACAGAAGTTTTTTTCCCCCTGCATGTACTTAAACTCAGCAAAGTCTGGTATCAAACTTGAGACTGATCCCCATGCTGAAGAGCTCCTGGGACAACAGCTTAGCTCCATAGGGGATATTCACCTTGACAATGTCGTCGACGGATTCACAGACACGGCAGTAAGGGCCCCTGACCTTGCGCCCACCGGGGACAGATCGCTGAATCACATTGGCGATGTTCTTGCAGTTCTGGCAGATGTGCAGCTGGGAGGAATCGCTGAGCGTGTAGAGCCGCTCGTAGAGGTTTGCTGACGCACCGTGGGCTATCAGGCAGTCACGCTCCATCTCGCCGAACTTGATCCCACCAAAGCGTTTGCGATCTGCAACCGGCTGCCTGGTGAGCGGGTGAACAGGCCCCGTGTTTCGGAACTTGACCTTGTCTTCAGCCATGTGGATCAGCCGCTGGTAGAAGGTCGGGCCCATGAACACCAGCGAATCGACCATTTCTCCGGTTCGACCGTTGTATAGCCTCTCGTTTCCCCATCTAGAAAATCCAGCCCTGTTTTTGCAAGAAGATATGACAATCGCTGCTCTCAGTCAATTAAAACTGTAAATGTGAGCAAGCACAAAGCAAACATGGACAATTTCTCAATCAAATACGCTGGTCCGACTTCTAACATTCACCTCTGTAATCGAATCTAACACTGATGCAGACTCCACTTTACTATTGTCTCTTCTATACTTACAGTTCTAGCCTTGTAATAAAACTCCAAAAGCTTGTGTGGTCATTTAGTCAATTCACACATAATTCATCTATTCTAAGAAGTCAACAAGTTGCAGGACCACCCAATCATTCCACGACCATTTACGTATTGAATCAAATGGAACAGGGTCTACAACAAGAATGCATAAAACCAGAACTTAAGTTTGAGGAAGTAATTAGTATTTGTCACCTGTGTAGCTGGTCTGTGATGGACTCAACCGAGACAGTGGAGAAAGGAGTTGCATATCTCATCGTACCACCGGAAGCAATCCCTTTCGCCAGAGCAGCCTCCAAGAGTTGGCCAGGAGTTTGACGTGAAGGAAATGCATGTGGATTTATGACCACATCAGGCACTATTCCTTGTATTGTGAAGGGGAAGTTCTCCTGAGACTCTATGAAGCCTAGAACACCCTTCTGCCCGTGCATGCTTGAAAACTTGTCTCCTAGTGTTGGAGACCGGACCTGCAGAAAGTCGGGATACATAGAAAGTGAATCAGCAGGAAAGGACAGCCATACAAATAAGCAAGAGAATCCATCAAAGATTGTTCTCACTGTAACAAAACCTCTAATGCTTCATGCAGGCAGCGAACATTCTCACAAATACTTTGAAATAATATCCTCTAGACAGTTATGGTTTACCTGTCTCAATGATACCACAGCAAAGTTCTTTCCCTCGTCATTAGCAGACAAAACCACCTTCTGGACCTTGCCTCTTTCAGTGTGCTTCAATTTGATACTGTAATCAGCTCCAGACTCACCGCATTTCCCCACAACAATATCCCCACTCTGTAGATCTGCTCCAATTGAGGGGAAACCATCATCATCGAGACTATCAACTCGACCAATCTTGCTCTGTATCTTCCCAAAATGAACAGGGTCATCAGACTTTCTTCTTTTTTCCTCCTTGTTATCAACCTCAGCCTTGTAACTCCTGATGTGCTCGGTTCGGAACAGCCCACGCTGCAGAGAAGCCTGGTTCATCACCAAGGAATCCTCTTGATTGTACCCCAGATGAACATTTACTGCCACTATACAGTTCTGGCCATTGAAAAACTCAGGCCTGGGAAGA